CAGCCTGCTGTGAGAGGACACCGTGATTAAACAGAGCTCAGCATCAGCGCTCTCACCAGTCACATACCTGAAGCTACTTCATGAGGCAGGAGACACTGCAGGGCGGAGGCCGAGGTATGCAGCGTTCAATCTGGAAGCGTTCGTTAATCACAGCTGCAATCCTAAAAGTTTTATTCTGTCAGATTTGAATAAGCTGCCTCCGTGGAGTCACCTGAACAGCAGAGTCAGGTCTGGAGCATTCAGGTGTGGAAAATATGTCCCAGCAAATTCATCCCAAGCTCAGACCGTGAGACGCTTAGAGAAACCCAAGAGGTCCATCTAAGACTCGACGGGCCTCGGTTAAAGGTTGAAGTTCATGACAGCACAAGCAGAAAAAGACTGAACAAGTATGTCTGTTTGGAAAGGCTGCAGGAGAAGCCTCTTCTGTCTGAAGAGTGGCAGCACGGTCAGACTGAACAAAGCAAAGATGCCCGGAGCAGACGAGCCTGGAGCGAGGTGTCCGTCCACGAAGCACAGCAGCATGTGTGGAGACAAACACTCAGAGCAGCCCGATGATTAACACATGACCTGGTAGTAAATGCATTAGTTGGTTACCTAGGCAACCAGAGCCAGGAATCTCCACTAGTGACCATCCATCAGCCTCAAATCGACGCACGGCGAATGAACCGCTTCCAGTGTGGCTGCAGCTTAGAGCCCTGTAGAGCTCGACTATCTGAAGCAGGATACTGGTGCAGTGAATTATGGGTAAATTAAACCTGTTAAGGTGGACCAGCACCATCCTGCCAGTCACCACACGCTCCACCTTAACACCATTCTTGAACAAGATCCCACGATACATAAACTGCCTGTCCTCCAACCCTGAGAGAGCAATCCACCATCATCACTCGACACCTAAATGCAGGGGTGGGCGACTCCAGGCCTCGAGGTCCTGTGTCTGCAGGTTTCAGATGTGTCCTTGATCCAACACAGCTGATTTAATGGCTGAATGACCTCTTCAACATGTCTTGAAGTTCTCCAGAGGCCTGGCAATGAACTAATCATGTGATTCAGGTGTGCTGACCCAGGATCTAAAACCTGCAGGACACCAGCCCTCGAGGCCTGGAGTTGCCCACTCCTGCCTTTATGTATTTTCTTGAACTCTTTCCCCCTTAAAGACGACCTTCCCAGTACCCACATGACACCTCAGTATATCAATAAAGTCTTGGTTTCATGACCATTTGATGACGCTGAGCAGTTTCTGTGTTTTTCTGAGGGCGGCTGGACTGGCAGAGAGCACCCTCACTGACGGCTGATGCAAACCCAGTCGTGTTGTTCTGTAAACAGCCGAAATATGACGGAAAGGCCTCAGTTCAGAGAAGAGCTTCAAGGGGAACTCCCACTCCCCCTTCAAGGAGTAAAGGGGTACATGTTCAAGTTTGGTAAAGATAAAAATGCGATTGGAGAATGTGGTGCGTTTTCTGTGTGGTGTGTTCACAGCTCCAAACCCCAGAGCTGACGGTGAGAGCTGTATCAGCCAGCTGTTTGTTATTCACACTCACATCTGCAGACTTACAGAGACAGACACAACGCCACCTGCTCAGTCGATGGTGAAAGGGCTGCAGCACCTAAGATTAACACTTCATCTTATACGCAACCCACCCACCTCACCAATCTGAGCCACGGTCTGAGTAACCCCCGTCACTCATACACGGACTCTATTCAGACCAAGTCTTGTCTAACGTGGGCCCTTCTCTTATTTTGTACATATTCTGCTATTTATATTTTATTCCGGCACAGCTGACGTGGAGCACCCACAATTTTGTTGCACACGTACAATGACAATAAAGGGCTATTTTATTCTATTTATAAAAACATAAAGTAATTTTTAAAAAAGCAATACTGAGCACAGGCGATCACTGATGAATAAAAGGTTGGATCGCTCTTTATTATGGATTCATTTTTCTCTTGTTCATGCGCACAGTCACACAGGGCTGCAGCCTTTAGCTGACTAATTATCACGTTATGTGGCTAAAGATAATAATAACACAGGCCCAGGCCTGTAACGCCTCACTGTCACTGTGCGAGTGTTTAACTAAGAGAAGAAATCAGCACTCTGACTGAAACAAAGCCAGGCCTCAAACAGAGGCTGACCACAGCTCTCCACGAAGGTGGAAACCAAAGACGGAAAGATGACCTCAAACCGGCATTTTTTCTAATGGCCAGCAGGGGGCGACTCCTCTGGTTATAAAAGAAATCTGATTACAGTCTATGAGAAGACGAGCCTGCTGCTCACATGGTCTCTGGGCTCATTACACGCCCTGCTGATGAGTTTACGGTCTTACTAAATGAAACACGAGGTTCATTTTGGAAACGACAGCTCTAAAGAAGACTAACACACCGAGCTCCTAACGTTTTAGTTTAGGTTCATCTGCAAGGCTGCACTATTAAGCGACTTTGACGGGATCCAGGATATCTTCCCCTTCATCATCGATCATGCTAAGTGGTCACACGTAGGTGGTTATCAGGTCCATAAGTCTCCTGAGGGTTTCCCAATCTGCTGCGTGAAGTTTGTTTGAAGCAGGAAGTAAAAGCAGAAAAAGTGGCGACTGTGAGTCCACAAACACAAACAGGCGTGGGATCAGATAGCAGCGCTTACAGGGCCATAAAAAATAGAATCAGCAATAAAGTTGTGACTCAGAGTCTTTATCTTACTGATGCTCCGTACTCTCTGAGGTCACATGGAACTTTCAGGAATTCTGACGCTAGTTTCCAGAGATCGTATTGGTCGGTCAGTGCTGACTTCATACCTATCGAGCGCTCATCTCAAACGTAAGTGCTTCGGAGCAGGTTGGGTCTGCAGCATCAGTTACCGTGGCAATTTATCCCAGTTAGATGTGACCCACCTTCACAAACAGGGTTCAACCTGAAGTTGCCTCGATAACCGCAGCAAAGGCCTCTGATGCAATCTGTGGGCTACACTCTGTGTCTTCCTGCTGCCACGATGCATTGTGAAGACATAACACACAATAAAAATAGACTAAAACCAACACACAAGTCCCGCTTCCTATGACAAATCAAATCAGTTTATTCTACTGCCCCACTGCTGAGAGCAGATCTGAAGCACGTTTAACCAAAAAACAACCTGGAAACTATTCAGGGGACGTGATTAAAAACAGTTTACACCATTCACAGAAACACACACACAACGGTGAATGGACACTGAAAAGGCAAATCACAGAACAGCAGAGATAACATTCTCAAGGTTAAAACAAGAACCAAGTGCTTTAAAACGTATATAAACGTCTTAAAAGGAAGAAGCTCACGTTGATGACAGATCTCCACCACGGGGTGATACCTGCAGCGCCAAAGCGGCGCTGCCCCGGACCTCTGCTAACACTTCAGTACTCTGTGACTCATTTGGGGTCGTACTGAATAAAACGGACTTCTTTCAGTTCTCATCCAAGAAGCTTCTTCAGTTCTAAAAACAAAGGTGGAGAGTCCCAGCTATTTAACCGCAGGTTGGGGTTGTCCCCTTAGGAGGTGGTTGTTAAAGAACTCTTAAAACAGCCCAGTCGCCACCTTTTTTCAAGTTCTTCAGACGACCACGAGAAGCTGCACAGACATACTGAATCAAACATTAAGAACATTTCCCAAATCCTGGTCCTTCTCAGCTTCCACCGTCAGAATCCTTCTTTTAACATCATTTTAAAAACACCAAGATGACAATGGCAGCTACATCTATCTTTTGTACCATCAGGTTTGATTTAGTTTCATTTGAAGGAATTTATTAAGGAGCTTCTGCTTGGTTTAAAGCGCAGATATATCCGAGTATCATCAGCATAAAAGCGATTTAAATATGAACACAAGGAACAGCTGCTAACATGACAAAGGGGCCACAATGGAGCCCTGCGGTGCGCCACAAGCACAGTCACCAATACTGATGGAAATCAATACTTCTCGCATGCTCTGCTGTATCAAATGCAACAGAGAGAGCAAATCATGCAAGCTGAGCCGATTCACCCAGCATCACCAGTACATATCATGGTATTAAACGTACAGATTCAGTGCTGTGTAGCGAATCCCACTGAGACTGATGGAAGCTGATGGAAACCAGCCTGTGATCTACTGATAACTGGAGCGAATTCTTATTTAAAGGTGAAGATGAAGGTTCACTGAGACTAACAGTCTGTGAGCTGTTTCCAAGTTGTCCAAATGTTAGATGTTACTCACAGCCGCCCACAAACCACAGTGTTTTTGGTGGCAGTGGGAATAGCAGGTCCTTCCACTGGTTCAATGGTATTTTTATCATGTAACGATAAAAGGTATTTGAGTCTAATGGAGCTTCACCCAGATAACACAAACCGTACAGCCCGGGAGTGAAATCCACCTGATAAAGACTGCTCCACCTGCCTTTAAATGACTGCGCGGCGCAGCTGTGGCAGGTGCGAAACATCTGGCTGGTGCCTCAGTCACACAAACATCGCCATGAAGCCTAAAAACGGGCTTCATGTGTGATTTCCTTTCAGGGGATAAAATCAAACCAGACGTCGACCTAAAGCCTCTCGAAACATTCATAATAAAAACAGTTACGTGTACTTCTCTGTTAGTGTTTCCTGTTGGTTTTACTGTGGAAACAGCAAAGTCTGACGTTTCACAAGAACTTGTATGGCAACAACAATGAAGACGAATTATTCACCGGATTACATAAATTGATAAAAAGTCCATAACTGTGGCTTAAGATGAATCTATTTGTGTGTGCGTGTGAAATTAGATTAAATCATCAGATTTTCCCAGCAGTGTTTGGTGTGACGTTATCTCCGATAAAAACAACTTATCTGGGCGGAAAAGTAACGCTCCATCCACACCCTGCAAACACGTTTTGAAACCCACGATTTTTAAGCGATAACAACTCAGACTTGTCGTGTTTTCAGACCAACTACAGCCTGATTCCGTTCACGGTTTGATGTTGAAGCGGAGATCAGGGTCCGCATCCGAACTGCTGTTGTCGGGCGCCTCCATACCTGACTGGCTTTGTGGAACTGCTTCTTCAGCCCGGCCACAGACATCCTGGACGAACGGCTTCAACCCCGCACAAAATACTCCGGGAAAGCGACTCAACACACGGCCGACGGAGGCTGGGCTCAAGAACGAAGCAGCCGACACCACAGCTCCGCACTCATCAGTCAGACTCCGCTAAGATTGCAGCATGACCCCGAGCTCAGTGAAGCTCTAACGGCGGGAGGCCGGCCCAACCGGAAACTGCTTCAAAATAAAGGTCTCCGAGGATTTAAAAAGATAAATAATAATTAAGGCATGACATCACTGAGCAGCAGGGCTGGACTTGGATATAAAAAAAATGTATATGAGGGTAGAATATGATGTGTGCATGTGTCATTTTGTTTGATTCCTGATATTGAAATTGTTTCTCGGTTGGTACAGTTGTTCCTGGGTTCCTTCTTTGTTGCACACTTTAGCTGTTAGGAGTGGCTCCTGATCAAAGTGGTCATGCATTTTACGTGAATCCTTGATTATTCCAAGAGTCTTTATTTACCACTTGTCATACAAGTACAACACACAGTGAAGTGTGTCCTGACACTGCAAAACATTATAAGCAATAAGAAAATCTAAATCAAAACTCTGAAACTTTAAATAAAAAACCTGAAAGTGTACATTGTGGAAATGGAATGTTAAAGTGCTTTGTGCCACATTGGCACAGCAATGTGCTGACAGAGCAAAAGTAGACCAAAAGTAACCGAAACTACCAAAGTAACAGACTGAGCAGAGCAATGTAAGCATAGTGAAGCAGCATTATCAGTGTAGCAGCGCGTGACGTATAATAAATCAGACATGATATGAATTATGACAGTGAAAGTTCTGCAATGTAACAAGAATATGATATAAAATCCAGTTCCAGACCCTTATGGTGATGCTATGAGGGGAGTGGGGGCATGTCCTGGCTCGAATGGCCTGAGGATAGAAGCTCCTCTTCACTCTCTGTCTTTGCCCCGATGGTGTGGAACCTTCCACCTGATGGCAAAAACAAGTTACTGGGATGGGAGCTGCTCTGGACCAACATCTCCTGGTGTAAATGTCCTGAAGGGAAGGGAGATGCTGTTATTGATCCTTTTACCTTAGTCTTAAAGTGTGTATTTATTTCTTACTCTTCTTATATTTATTGCTTGTCTTTTGCACTGAATGTAACTTGAACCTCTTCATCCGGTCTCTATATACTGCACTGTGTACAGCAGAGATGACAATAAAGTTTACTTTGACGTGAGCAGCAGCGCTCTGCAGCACACATCACTCTGTGAAGAGCTTTTCGGTCCTGAACACAACTAATCCCAGGATGTGATGTTCTGTGTGAGGATGCTCTCCACAGCACCTGAATAGAATCACTTAGTCCCTCTCTCTATGTTCTTAACACATTATTTTCACCTTCCTCTACCTCTTCCTCACTCTGCTGTTGTCCCGCCTCCTGCACTTTTTCTCTGCTGGTGCTAAATTTGACCTTTTCACCACTTCCTCCAAGGTAAACTAGTTGCATGAGGGGAGGAGTTCAGGGATTTGATTGGGCAGTGTCCGTATCGGAAATGAGCGAATGGATGCTGTCAGTGTGTGTTGGGTCGGTGGGTAAATGACCCATCAGGTCACCGGGAAAATGCCAGATTACCGGTCCAGCCCTGCTGAGCAGCTGTTTCTGTTGGGGAAAAATTGGCTTAAAACATATTTTATAGGCATATATGTGGTTCTCAGTGACATTTGAAGTTCCACATTTCTGAAAATGAAAAAGTACCTCTTAGCAGTAGCATATTAGGACTCAAGGGAGTCTATCTCAGACTGTGTGTGAGGCCCTTTGTAGGTAATGATGGGTTTAAGATACATTTTTAAAAAGAAAATGAAGGGTCTGGGCGAAGGAGAATAAATATAAAAGAAATAAACTCAAGGTGATTACGTCATACCTTTATTGAAAAAAAACTTTCACAAAATATTTTTAATTGAATTTTTATTATAATTATTTAATACTGAGTGTGAAATGTTTTGTCACACTCACGCTGAGGCGCGGGGTGTGGGTATTATTTTGGAAAGAAAGGACCGGAAGTTACATTCACGTACTCTCGCTTTATTTTCCGGGAGAGAGGGTTTCCTGACTCTCAGAGATGTCGCCACTTCTCAAAGACCATTGGGTGAGAGCGGGGAGAACTGATGATGTCACCCTGTTCGTAAACAGGATGAAGCGTTCATATACTCGATATATTTATTTATTCAGCCCCACGCACGTGTGTGTGACTCACACGTCATCGTAAATCATGTAAATAAGCGTCTTTGCTCAGTTCAGTTGCGCCTCCTGAGGTTCCCACGCGGATCCCTGTTCTCCATCAGTCAGCACAACCTGTATTTCCTGTGTGGGATTCGAGTGATTCACGCTCTGCGTGTTCAAACAGCTTATAGATCTGAGACAGCGACGCGTTTCACTTTCAGTTCAACATTTCAATCCACGCACGCTCTGCTTTTTTATTTGTAGAAAAGTCTGTGAAACGGACGTGACTACAAATACACAACGCCTCTGAAGTTCTTTAAATTACTGCACGTGGAGCCAGATGTTAGAAGTTTTGTCCAAATATGAAATATTAAGAGTCGGCGCAAACTCTTTGAGGCTCGCACAGAGGTCTGAACAGCGCCACCTGCTGCTACGGAGATGAACGAGCCTCAGCCTCTGTTTATCAGCTGGAAGTTTAGATTACAGTAACACGTGGATATAAAGTACTTTGAAATGTGAAAAGTTACATTTAAAGATAGTTTATTGTATGTTTCAGTGCCAGATTTTACACTGTCACGTTATCACTAAAGCACTTCTGGATGGATGCAAACTGCATTTCGTTGCCCTGTACCTGTGCATGTGCAATGACAATAAAGTTGAATTCTATTCTATTCTATTCTATTAATGATGTTATTCTGAAAACTGTGGAAAAGAGAAGCAAATCCTGCCAATTCCACACAGCAAAACGCTGTGCAACATCACGCTTAATGGACAAAGAGAAGAAACTGATTAACAAAACGAGTATATGTAATGTTATTAATGTGCAGTGAAGTTTTTGATTGATTGAATCTTTATTTTGAACATGTTGAAAAAGTATAAAAAAATAGAATTAAAAGAGACAAATGAACAAAGCAAACAAAAGGAAAACGAGCAACCACAACTCCAAATAACGTCCATGTTCAAAAAGGAGCAGGAAGAAGCATAAGCTTATTTAATCCCACCCCTTTTCCACTATCTAGTATCAATAGACTACAGAAATACCTCCTTGTAATTACATTATATGTTATGTGTAATTTTTTTTTTTTTTTTTTAATATATACACATATATGTTTCTATCTATCCATACCTACGTATATACACACATATACACATTTTCAATAACCCCATTAACACCTGAAGGATACACAACCTACAATTTTATTTATTTATATATATATATATATATATATATACACATACACACATACATATACACATACATATACACATACATATATACCCATACCAACAAACCCGTGCATGCGCACACACATGAAAATATTAGACAAGAACACCCTATCAAATCTCTACCTTTTCCCTGTACCCTGTAAAAACCATATCCTTAAACTGCTTTTTAAACTGCGCCATGCTTGGACTTTGCTTCATATCTTTACTTAGTCTGTTCCACAGCTTCACTCCACACACAGAGATGCAAAAACTTTTTAATGTTGTACGGATACGAGGATGTTTTAAATTTAATTCCCCCCTCAAATTGTATCCCCGTTCCCTTTTAGAAAACATTTTTAGAATATTGTCAGGAAGCAGGTTATTTATTGCTTTATATATAATTTGTGCTGTGAGAAAATGAACCAGATCTGTGAATTTTAGAATTTTTGATTTTAAGAATAGTGGATTTGTATGATCTCTGTAACCAGTTTTATGGATTATCCTTATGGCCCTTTTTTGTAATATAAAGATTGATGATAGCGAACATTTGTAAGTATTGCCCCAAACCTCTGCACAGTAATTCAAATACGGTGCAATCAGGGAACAATAGAGAACGTGGAGTGATTTGTGGTCCAGAATGTGTTTTACTTTACTCAAGATTGAGACACTTCTTGAAATTTTGTTATGTATATGATTTATATGAGACTTCCAGTTTAATTTATCATCTATAATCACACCAAGAAACTTATGTTCAAGTACTCTTTCAATTTCCACACCATCTACATGAATCTGCACTTGTGCATTTCTAAGGGAATTCCCAAATAAGATAATTTTAGTTTTACTTAGATTTAGCGATAGTTTGTTCCTGTTAAACCATTTTTTAATTTTGCACATTTCTGAAGTAATTGTATCCAGCAGCTCCTTTAGATTCCCCCAGAACAAAAAATATTTGTGTCATCTGCAAATAATACTAATTTTAATATATCAGATGCCTTACAAATATCATTTATATAAATAATAAATAATTTTGGACCCAGTACAGAGCCTTGTGGAACACCACAAGCAATGTCCAAGCATGATGAGGAATGGACACCCAGCTTCACAAATTGTTTCCGGTCACTTAAATAATTTTTCACCCATTGCAGTACAACCCCCCTAATCCCATACCGTTCCAGTTTATTAATTAATATGTCATGATTGATTGTGTCGAATGCTTTCTTGAGATCCAGAAATACTCCAGCTGCATACTGTTTCTGATCTATAGCATTCGTAATCTCCTCAATTGATTCGATTAATGCCAGAGATGTTGATCTTTTTGATCTGAATCCATATTGACTGTCAGAGAGTAATTTATATTTATCTAAGAATTTGTCTAATCGTTTATTAAACAGGTTTTCTAGGATTTTGGAGAATTGTGGTAGTAAAGAAACAGGCCTGTAATTTGTGAAGTGGCGTCTATCCCCGGTTTTATACAGCGGCACAACTTTAGCTATTTTCATTTTGTTTGGCACTTTTCCCATCTGAAATGATAAGTTGCAAATATATGTTAGAGGTCCTACAATTCCTTCAATGACCTTCTTGACGATTTTCATGTCAATATCATTACAATCAGTGGATGTTTTATATTTACACATGTGTACAGTGTCAATCATTTCTTTTTCCTCCACTGATGTGAGGAACATTGAGTTAGGGTTCCTATCAATCAGGTTTTCACTACAGTCTACTGATGGCAGTGACTCAGGAATTTGTTCTGCCAGTTTTGGTCCAATATTTACA